TATATATAATTATATTTATTTTTATTTATTTTATTTTTTTTGTGGTCCAAACATTGGAATCCATTTCTGCATTAGAAAGAAATGCATACAGGTTTGGAACAATCCGAGTAAATGATAGAATTTTCAGATTTGTATGAACTATCCCTTTAAGCACAGTAAAGTGACAGTAAAATCTTGAAGCAGATGGCAAAGCCATTGCCCGATCGACCCCCACTGACCATTCATCCTTATAGCATTCTACTCTAATGCTGCAGACCACCTGTTACTCTTGAATATGACCTCTGAGTGTTGACCTCTGACCCCTTTCTGAGTACTAATGCAGACAAAACAATACTGCATGAAAGAATGACAAGATCTTTGGTTTCTGCAACCATGAGAGCATCTAATTTCACTTCACCAGTACAATATACAATTTATAGAATATTCCAGAAGAAAGACTACTCTTACGTAATATTATATGTTTAGTTAATTTTGCTGTCTTGTTATCACGATGGTCAGGTAAAAGATTATATGAGAAACATCCTTAGTCAAACTGTAACTTGACTTTTGTCAAACCGTTTGAACAGTGCGTCCTTTCTTTATCATGTTAACCAGCACACTGCAAAAATCACTCAATTATTTTTTTTTCCCCACTAAAAACATCTAAACCATTAAACATAGGTACATTAGAAGCAATAGTGCATAAAAATATGGTGTTTCAGAAAATACATCTCATTTTTTTAAGCTTAAACCTCACTAAACTGTTAAGGCTTACACTTTAAGCAAGGAAAAACTTTTGATAATGAGGTAAGAAAAAAATCAAAGTTGTATTAGAATAGTTGTCAACATTTTTAAAATGTCAATATCTTATGCAGTTTTGTTTCTAACGTACATTTATCTTGTTTTAATGATGTTTGGATACCTTACTGGACAACAACAAAATACTTATTGAGAAACCAAGATCGTTTGCTGTGTAACTGAATATCAAAATAATTTTTAATCAGTTTAATGAAACAAACAAAAATAAATGTAAATTAACCTTAGTTTTGAAGGAAAGAAATCAAGAAATATACTTACAGTAAAATGACTCCTAATCCAGTTCTCTGTATGGACTGTTACAGATATTTGTCAGGAGATGAACTCATCTGACTGAGAATTTAGTGGGTGTGTGAATAAGAGCAAACTGGCTCTGCTGTCAGTCTGAATAAGCGTTTTAAAGTGGCTGTGGAGTCGTGGGGGAGGTGATACATGCCCTTCTCCTCCCCCATTGCCACACAAAGCAAATCTCACTAGTTATTCAGAAATAAGTGTCTCCATGTCATTACTGCAAATCTTTATGAATTTCCGTGAGATCAGAAATTCCATATTTAAAGATGATAAAACCTTTATCCTTCTGAGGGTTCATGACAACAAAGTGCTGGATATGGGAAGACAGTTTGGATCTCAGGACAGAGGAAGGTCAGAGGCAGAGAAGAAAAGGGGAAAAATACTGATCAGTACATTGTATGTTTTCAGGTACATAGTGTCTTAAACTTAGAGAGGACATCATAATATGAATAGGTTATTCATAAAGTATTATAGGTTATTCTGGAATAATGGAAAACACTTGTTTTAACAGTTTTCTATGTTAGTATTTTTTTTTTTGAAAAAAGCTTTGCTTTTTTCTCATCCTAAAATATGTTAATTTTTTTATTTTGTGATATTACAATTACATCCAATATGACTTGACCAAATAGTCTTCTTGAGCAGTCAATGTTCTTAGATAAATTGTTGGATTTTGCTAGTATATATACTTATATATACCACAATAATAATCGAGAACTATTAACATATTATCTCACAAAAATGTCCAAGTCAAAAAAATATATGGGCTCGTCCGGGATTTGAACCCGGGACCTCTCGCACCCAAAGCGAAAATCATACCCCTAGACCAACGAGCCGCTTAAAATACGACAAGTATTTATGTCAGGTGAAGCTTAGTGAAATAATGTCAGACTACATCCTCGTAAAAAGCAACAACATGCGTTTTAATTATAATATTGTGTCGAAGTTAGTCTTATTTTAGTTGACATTAGATGCAAATATTGTTAGTACTCTGCATATGAATCTAAGTTACACGCGTCAGTCAGTGGCGTTGTTACTACGTACATACGTAAAGTTACTTTCTATTTCCCGTAAACACGTCGTCTCACAGGTACACCCGCTAGGGTAGATATGCTATTTTATTACTGTTAGGAGTAAATGGACCATATAAAAATAAATAAATAAGAAAATACATCATACCCCTAGACCAACGAGCCGCTTAAAATACGACAAGTATTTATGTCAGGTGAAGCTTAGTGAAATAATGTCAGACTACATCCTCGTAAAAAGCAACAACATGCGTTTTAATTATAATATTGTGTCGAAGTTAGTCTTATTTTAGTTGACATTAGATGCAAATATTGTTAGTACTCTGCACATGAATCTAAGTTACACGCGTCAGTCAGTGGCGTTGTTACTACGTACATACGTAACGTTACTTTCTATTTCCCGTAAACACGTCGTCGTTTTCACAGGTACACCCGCTAGGGTAGATATGCTATTTTATTACTGTTAGGTAAGTCAAACACACATCCTATGTACGCGTAATTGCATCGCTTTGACCGTAAATCCCACCTTCTCACACACACCATGATTGGTCCATTATGTACAATGCCTGCATGTTATTGGTCAAACTACTTTTCGATCATTACCTTCAGCAAGCATGAAAACAGGAAAACAAAGCCAAAACAAATCCTGGCAAGGACGCGTCCGGGAAAAATGGCACGTATGGTCACCCTACTTCAGTTGCACTATCAAGGACTGAAATGCTCCAGGAAAGCTCTTTTCATGCTGAGCTGATCAAAAAATGAGCACAGCTGATCACAGTTGAAAGTCAAATGGCTTTGTGTGCCGTTGAGAAGGTGATTAGCTACACCTGATTGAGTTTGAAGTAGTGGTCGACCGATTTATTTTTTTTGACTGCCGATATCTTGGAAAGCAGGGTGGCCGATGGCCGATATAATTGTATTTATTTTAATTAATATTTAAGAAATTTGAAATCATTTGAAAATGGATTAAAAAATTAATTTGTAAAATAAACATACTTATTACTTACAAAGTATTATTTCCAAAACAGGAAAACTTATCGGCCGATGACGATATTTGAAAAATACCAAATATCGGCCGATATATTGGCCTTGGCGATATATCGGTCGACCACTATTTACAAGTCATTTTTAGGAGGAGGGTGATCTTTTTTCCAATTTAGTGATTCTGTTTTTTAATTTTTTTCTGACACGTTGGTGTTATATCTTTCACTTGGATGTTATAAGTTGCACTGAGTAAATACAGCTTGATAAAACAAAAATTGTGTCTGTCTTCATTTCAGGCTGCAAAGCAACAAAATACGATTATTTTAAATGGGGGTGATTCCTTTCTATACCCACTGTATGTAGGCATACAGCATCCACTATTTGCAGTATTCAGGTTGCATGTTCTGTTCATCTTCACAGCTCTGTCCTGTCATCCTGTGAGCCGGAATTACAGGAGCTGATGCGGCAGATTGACTCCATGGTGGGGCACAAGCGGCATGAATGGGAGGCTGAGGTTCGAGCCATGAAGCTGCGTCTGCAGAATACGCAGGAGGAACTCCAGTCAGCCAGAGCTCTGCTCGACAAGAGGAGCTCAGAGGTATTGTATCGACTCTTGTTCAAACTTTCGTTTGGAGTGTGAAACTATTGTAAGAAGCAAATTTGTTACATTGAAACAAAGTCTTGAAAGTTATAAAGCAACTTTCCGTTATCTGATCCGTTATTAATACTGTAGCATATGAGACAAAGCATGTTCCATACAATTAAATGTAATATGAGGCCACAGAATCTTCTGAAGGACTAAACTGATTTTGATGGTTTTGTGTTACACTTTCCATGGTAAGATCTCTCTTAAATATAATGGCTCAGCAAAATGTCATATGCTCTACCTTCACCCCTGGCAGACGCTTGGGGTGAGAGAGGTGATAATGTCCCTGCTGGACCTCCAGGATGGTGGTTTCCAAATGTTGAAGTTGGTAGTGGAAAAGGGGCTACAGCAGGTGAACTGCATGAAGGCGTGGGTCTTCCTGCATGACTAGACTAGACTAGACTGAATGCTTCTGTTTGAGCATTATTACAAGCATTAACTATATGACATATTAGATAGGTGAGGACTGTTGTTGGTAAAGCCATGTTGATTGTTTTGATTGCTACGTCAATAATTCTTGTATAAGTTTCTCTGATTACATATCAAGATCTTGACACTATTACAATAATATAGTGAGTAATATAGGGACAGACAGTATTCTGATATAATGTTTATATTATTTTATTTTTTAATATTTTAAAGGTATTGTTTTCTTTGTTTTCATTTTGTTAGGGCAACTAGACATGACATATCAGAATAACTGACTGAATATATTAGATTAAAATGCACATGCTTGCATGCTTGCTTAAATCAACATAACATTATTAAATGGCCAGATGACATCACATTATATAATAATAATAATAGTATTATTTAATTATTTAATGGGTCTAAAATGTAATTGTAATTATTCCAGAAGTCTAATATCATGTTGACAATATGTGCTTCACCATCTAACTTTAAAATAAACAAAGATTTTGAAAAATCTAAAATCAGGAAACTTTATGATTATATATCATGTTGATCATGACATTATTACTGTAATATAGGGAAAAGCAGTATTTTATTATAACATGTTTTGATTTAGAATTTTAATTTTTAATTTAATTATTAAAGGTATTATTTTCTTTATTTTGGTTTTGTTAGATTAAGTAGAGTGCATTAGATTCAAATGCAGATACTTAGCATCTAATGGTGCATAAATTATATGAAATTATATTAAATTCAGTAATATTATATCACATATTACTAATATTATTAAAATGGAATTACTCCATTGGTCCAAAAGTCTGAGATCATGTTAAAAATTTGTGTTTTATTATCAAATTTTAAAATAAACAAAGGTTTTGAAAAATCTGAAATAAATATTATGGCATAAAATAAATAAAAAAATAAGACAATACTACATGAAGTTAATATTAATTTTTAAATTTGATTTTGCATTAAAATTATTAAGTTAATAATATGTTTATGAAAAATGTTTTATTTCAGGGGAAAAAAAGCATTTTGGCTACTGGTCTCAGACTTTTGGATCCCCACATTCATGCGTGTTGACTGCATTGTGCATTATATAATAAAGTCATTGTCCATGTATGTTGTAAGTAGATCACGCTCCACTAGGTGTCATATTTGAGCTGCAGTTCACACTGGCTCTTATGTTCTCCAGATCCGAGTGCTGGGGAAACAGCTAGATGAGATGCAAGCTGGAAAACAAGAGCTGGTTGTGAAGTATGAAGAACAGCTGCAGCATGTAAAAGATGAAGTACGATTAGCTTTTATTTTTAGCAGCAGTGCTGTATATATTATTGTTACACTCAAACACACTGTATGACTTGATTTAGTTCATTTCACTACAAATTTTTTTTTATCAATATAGTTAACAACTAACTCCTTTCAACAGTTGTCTAAATTGAAGCACAGCTATGAAAAGCTGCAGCGTAAGCATCTGAAGGAGGCACGAGAAGGAGCTCTGAGCAGAGAGGAGGACAGGACTGAGCTGTCTCACCTCAAAAGCAAGTTGGAGGTACAGAGACTGGCTAAATATAAAGTGGACTTCATTTTTGTTTATATAGTATCGTTTAATAATTTTAGTTCAATAATTGAATGAAGTTCATTGAACATTTATTTTTGTGAATGCAGGAGTTCCGTCAGCGTTCAGCAGAGTGGGAACAGCAAAGACTGCAGTATCAGAAACAAGTGACTTCACTGGAGGAACAGAGGAAGAACCTGGCTGAACAGTTTACTCTCATCCAGGTGGCCCTAATTTGAACATTTACAAGCCTAACATACGAAATAATAGTCAGAAAGTGTGTGTGCATGTATATATAATATATATATATATATATATATATATACATATAAATGTGTGTGTGTATTATTAAGACTTTGTTTTTCAAAATCTAATCAAAAAGTTTTATGATCAGGCTTATATGGTTCGTGTA